GCACCATCGGTGCGGGCGGATTCGCAAGGTCACCGACATATTTGGTAATACTACTGATACCAACGTGACCTGTCCGAATCGGACACTGGTGCACCTGATCCTTGTCTGCCTTGTTGTTGATGCTAAATGCAATCTGAGCGGAGGAGGCCTACCGCTAGTGATGTATGTGTCAGACTGACACCGGGATCAGCAGATTGCGAAGAAGCCTAAGCGAAGGAGCCTAAGCACACCTAGTAACATACTTAATTAAACTCGGTCTTATCAATCAATTTTTCTGACCTGCCAACCCGCCAACCGATCTCTGTAGAAAAGCAGCTGGTGTTCCAGGCAAAGTGCGGTTCGAGCGGACGGCTCGCGCGGCCACAAGGGAGCAATGAAATATGCGTGCATGCCCGAACAGAGCGTCATATCTTCCCGGATGGCATGGTCTCCGCTTCGGACGCGTGGCGAGCAGCCATTCGCGGTGAATCTCAATTAACAGTGTTGTTAGTGGTAGGTCCACGACAGCTGACACTTGTCTGGGCTACTGACATTTGAATCTTTCCACAAATATCACGACTTCGGATAGACAGAGTATTGCATCGTCGCCTAGTGTTCTAGGCTGTACCTATCACCACCATCCCCGCGATCGCCTGTGTCTTTATCATGTTCCCGGTGACCAATTTTCGGCTATCTCTCCCTTTCGAAGAGAATGTCGGGGTTAAGCCACGGTGTGACCCCTATACTCGGCTCATGGCTCGATTTTACGAAACCTACTTCCTCTTGTGCAGTCTCAACATGACTCGTGACCGCCATACAGAGTATCCGCGATGCAGCTCCCCGCAGCCACACTTGCGCAGAGAGTATATGCGGAGTCTTGCCTTCATCTGCGATGGAAAAAAAGGCGGCAAAATGCTTACTGAGTTTTCCTGGATGCCACGTACGTCTTTGAATAGCCTCTAGGCCTCCAAAGAAGTGCAAGCTTATGTGGGAGCGTTCATTCCATATGCTGGTCGAGTATGCTGTGACGGCAGGAAAACGGGGGAAAGAAGTTCTACGTGAGTTTTTCAGTCTATATATTGAATATGCGAGAAAGCGTATTTCGGTGTATATAGCCGATTTGAAAGCCACTATTCCGCTTTGTATCCGCCAGATCTCCAGCCAGAGAAGCCCACAAAGTAAGTGGCCTGATTCTCAAATTTTACTTTTCTACTACAGCAAGATTAATTTTGAGGCAAATGACTCGTTTGTGAGCTGGCTGCAAAGTCTTCTAACACCATATCCTGATGTTGAGTCCAGCCACCTGGACGTCTGCGTAGCCAAGCATCGGGCATTCAAGTCGTGTCAAATGAGAAGGCTCCACGACGAAGCACACTCGAAAAAGAAACGGTATGCCGACCAAGAAATTCCTGGCGACCGAGGAGGATGTTTCACCAAAGCAAGGCACTCGCTTAGGTAGCTGTCCGGCCGTATTCAGAAGCCTCTGTCGCTGCTTCTGAACGCGCCACTTCTGCAGAATGTACTGCAGTGTGCTGAGGTCAGGGTCGTCAAGCAAAGCTTGTCTGCGCCGAAGCCAGATATGGACTCTCACGCAACCCTGCCCGGAATACTGCGCCGAATCTTTTCGAAAGACAACCCAGACATCGTCAGGGCACAGCAGGCCCTTGTCGACCTGCAAGATACAGGATGCAAGCCGCTGACGTGGTACATGAAGGTCGAACGCTGGTGCACTCCGTTTGTGCACAGCGAGATCTGCGTATTGGAATACTTTTATAAAAACAACCTACAGTTTTTCGAAGGAGATCGCTACGTCTATTGTAGCAAGCCGGCTTGCTTCACTTGCAAGCTGTATTTCGCGGAGCATCCGACAAGCATGATTGTACCGGAATCGCATGGGAAAGTGTATCCGGATTGGGGACCGCCCTTGGTGGAAGGTTTCAAGAGGAAAGATGCAGACTCGGATAGGCAGCGGGATTTGATGATTGAAATAACAAAGACCGTGAGGAAGGAGGTTGTCAATCATCTGTGGGGGAGGAGCGTCCCGCCAGCTTGGCACCCGGATTCGACAACGGGCGTCTCAGCTTTGGTACCGTCACTGCAAGGTCTAGAGCAGGAAATCTTTAGATATGAAGATGGAAATTCATGCATCGCGTATGCGTCGGATTCTGGGTTTGCGTCCATTGAGGAGGAGGGGTTGCTACATGAACTTGATCATGTTGCAGAGGGGCGCAGTGCATCGTCGCAAGGAAGTCATGAATCCGAGAACAACGAGTTTCATGACGAGAACAATTCGGACGAAGAAGGTGGCGCATCATTATAGGCCCAAAGAAATCAGGCAGGGATTTTTTTGTCATGTTTGCTGGTTATTACTATTTGGAGTGCAATCTATAAGCAGCCGTTAACTATCTGGGCTCGATGCAAGATGCTGCCTCTCAAGATGCCGTTTCAAAGATGCGCGACGTAGATATGTTCTGCTACAGTCGGTATACGGGCAATGACACTTTTCAAGGGTATTTGGTGCGTGAATCTCTTGAAAATGCCGTTTCATTTCTCTTTGCTCGCCGCATCGATGCTCGCAAGTTCTGACGGGACAGATAAC